TTACCGGCTTTGCTCCCAACTGATAAGTCGATAGTTGCCCTATCGAACCCTTACACAATCGGTCGTCTAACAAACGAAAGGCGGTTCCGTGCCTTTGTCATCGGCACTGGGACAAAGTTGAACGTTACAGCCTATTACTCGTCTGCCTCATCGTTACGGATACGCGGGTGCAACCTGAAACGACCAGTATCTTCTAGAAAACTATGGTCAACGATCTGGATGTATCTAGTATCTTCAGTTCAAAGGGGTTAAACCTGACTTAGATCCCCGTGAGAGTGAGGGAGAAGTCGCGGAGACGTGAAGAGCGCCCTGATTCTCGCAACCTAGCGTTTATACTTAATGTGGAAATCGCTATAACTGAACTGATTCGCTGCTTTCGCTTCATCAGAACCAAGAGTCACGAGGTCAGTAAGAGATAGTAATGACAACAGCAATAATAATAATAGTAATAATATCAATACCAATGGGCATATTTCTCACCAGGCAAGCAGTATTGTCCACAGATGGCACGCATCGTATTTGCACAGATTGTATCATACGCATGCACAGGTACTATGCGGTTCTATGCTTATTTTCCTCTGTGCGTGTTACTGGCACTGTTGTGGTTGCATGCATCATGCTTCTTCGCTATAGTTAGGCTACACCGACTTAAACTAAATCTTCTTAATCTGGATAAAATGTATTGCACTTTATTTGATTTGCTCGGCTCTGTTATTAAGCTGCATTATCCGTGTCAATTTTGCATGTTCACTTTCCTTCAAATGCCGTGTTGGTTGTTTGACAACTCCGATGTGGCTGTGCTTGATGCGAAGGTGGACAGAGTGTCTCCCAGTCTTACAACTTCCCCTAGATTTATGGCTCCAGGAGACTGCTAATCTTTGCTAGGGGGCAGCGTGCACGCTTCTCGTGATTGTGTTCGGCTCAACGAGTGGTTCCATGCGCTCGGTGTGGAACGGACTACGGCCGAACCACCGTCCTGTACACATGATTCCTAAACTAGGTAGACAGGAATGCCGCTGTTGTGCATGTTGAAGGAGTGTGGGCCGGCTCCGTTGATAAAACGTGACCCCAGTTCACATGCCTCTCGGTTTTTTCCCTCAGGTTTACACTTTATATGGGGTGTGTGGATGGAGCTGTGGGTGTTGCCGCGCAAGGCACCCATGATTCTTGTGTAGGCGCAGACGTCCTGTGCTTATCCTTTGGAGGTTGCAGTAAACGCTAAACCGGGACTGAATACCGCCAGCCATGTTGCTCGCCGAATTGTGTTTTACGTCAAAGTGGAGGGAGTATTACTGGGCTCGGTTGAAACATTTCATCCGACGATTTCCTCCATGAGCACAAGGTTTTATTCACTTTCTGTTCGAAGCAACTTCCGAGCTTATTACGAGATGTTGTTGCGCTATCATACCACCTGACTGTGGTTGGTAGCCTGTTCTACAGAAGGGTACATCTACTTTTGGAAGGAAATTAACTCACAAATCTATCCCACAGCTTGATATGATCACAGTGCAATCCTTAGTGCAATGTTTCCCAGTAGAATTGTGCTACAATGCTAGTGTAGACAAGTTGGACTAGGCTTACCGATGGATCAGATTGTGCAGCAGCATGAAATTATGCTTTTGTCTTCGAATCCAGTTAGCATTGGTGGCACTGCTCCAGAGGATTCTTGGTGGAATTTCTGCCTAAGAAACGTTTGGCAAAGGATCTATGTGAGTTTTCTGGAGTTGTTCTATTAGTTTTCCTTATGTTGTTACAACTCGTGCTGCAGCGGTGCTCGAGCTTGAGAGGGGTGGGGATTTTTAACAGTGCAACCTTGACTGTGATTAGTTGCGTCTTGTGGAATGTGTTAGTCAAGGATTGTCTGGTACGCACCATCTGGTATTTGACCCACACTGAATAGTTGTAGCTTCAGGAATATCGAATTTGCAGATCGCGAGTAGTCAGCTGTACCAAAACGCGAATGTCTTCGGCTAGCAAATAAGTACGATGCATGCATCGTCATCTTGTATGCGCAATAATGTGTCCTGAATTGCAACACAGCAAAGCTTGTGGATAATTTGCATACCATAGATGACTAAAATGTGATGTCGTGTTTGTTAACTACACTGGTATCGTTAATGTAAAGCAAGAATAGCAACAGATGGAGCACACTTCCTTGGATAACACCACTGATACTTGGATGTTATGGAGAGTGTTGACCATCTAGGATGACTACACAAGTGCGACAACTTAGGTATGATGGTAGTCAACCCAGTAGGGGGTATTTGATTCCAATGGAGGCCCACTTTTTCCGCAATTGTCTGTCACGCATCCGATCGAATGCTTTTGCATTGTATTATGATCACACATCCAGAATCAATAGAATCTGCCATATGGTTTAGCCAATGCAGTTGAAAAGTGGTGCAACATCGTCTATCAAGGGTTGGATTTCCCTAGACAGTAAGAATCGTCTGTCCGCTCCAACGTGATGATGAATTTCATCACACATTAACCAATTTTTCGAATAATCCGACAATTATACCAGTTTGGTAGATTAGTTAGTAACTATCAATTTTCTCTTTGGGACCACCCTTGTGACAGAGAATAACTCTTTTCCTTTCTCTGTGAATTGTTTTGATTTCACCGATGGAACAGAGTCCAACGAATGCAGTAGTATGTCAGATCATCCCAACTTTACGGCGGATAAGAGGATACTATCAACATCCAGATTCGAGAAGAGCTTCATGTAATTCATTACCTGGCCAGTATCTCAGTGAGATACGACTGTATATATGGTCCATTGAGATGTCGAAGGATGAGCTAATTCTTCACAGAAGACAACCGGATCATAATATGTGTCCATTCCCGTCGACCATTTCCGTACTCAAGAGGGTTTGGTTGTTGGTTTTGCGATGCAGAATTTTTGTATACTTCTTCGATGTGCATGTCGTTCGTTAGACTTTCTACTCTTCATTTACTCTCTTCACCATCTATGCATGTTTAAATTCAGCGATGAACAAATGCATCTGTAAGATTAGTGTGAAATCCCCAGTCTCTGTATCTCTGGCCGTCAGTTTTCTAGATTTATGTCTGATTGAGGGTCCGGCTGTTTGGTATCGGACATGACCGATCTACTGATCTAGTGGTGCAAGGAGAGTTATACCTCTATGGACCTGAAAATACAACTACTTTAAGACATTGCGTACACTGTTGTAGAGGAGCGCATCCCAATCGGAAGATCAGGTTAACTGCTGATAGTCTTCCCAGTTTATCTTGCGGATTGCATATTGAGGCAGACATGTGTGTTTGGTGGCCATTTTAGCGCGGTTTTGTTTGACTGCCTTACAAGTTCAAGTAGTAACTTGCGTGTCAAACGGTTTTATAACTCCGGAGAGTTCGTTTGGGGTTAGCTCTAGGCAGTTGGCAGTTGGCAAACTGCAAAACGATGTTGTCCGCAAAACCCAAAGCAGCATTCTTTCACGTGGATTATACCTTAGTACGTGTAACGTTAGGCGCCACAAGAGAGTAGTCCACGATGGTGACTGATACAATTGAACAGGAATGGGTAAATGAGATAATATTGAAGGACTCCACTTGTTATCTAGTGGGTGTATAATTCATCAGCATAGACCTTGTCACGACTCGAGATGCCTGAGTACAAGGCACAAAAAATGCTCACAGTTCTAGTCATCCAAAATTTTTATCACCAAGTCACACCACTAGCCATGCACTTCAAAATCAGAACTAATATCAAAATACCTTATATATTTAGCCCCCTGTAATTTTCGCGATAGTGTGTTTATCATCACCTCTCTAAGGCTTTCTGGTTTGGGAATTAGTGAAATTTTTATTATCGTCTGGTGATAGGCGTAAAAATCCCAAAACGTTTGATACCGAGAGGCGTAATTAGAGGTCCTCTTCAACCCTTGTTTTTACTTCCGTGCTAGTATTTATATTTACACTAAACGCCTCACTTTGACCAGTCACGAAGGTTTGAATGCGAGCTTATTGGTTGCACCCATTTCAACATGAATGACATGTCGATAATGGGAACATCAACGATCTAGATCCGTGTGATCTAGCAGCGTTCACCGTTCACTCGGGTCCCATCCAATTTCGAATTTTGCACGTTTGTATACATTTGCACACCTAGGACTTTTATTTCTTGAAATTTGATTTTGAAATACCAAATTAGTTGATCAGGAGATTTGGACCTCCACGGAATTTTGTTAAGTTTGATCCTGTCCCGCTTAGACTCTCGTGACTTGATCGCCGAGCGAACATATTGCATCGCTCTGTCTGCAGATTGTGCGTGGGTTGCTTTTGGGTACAGACCGCGTGCACTGGCAGGTACGCGTAATCCAAACGTGGTTCTCCACCAGACCAGGTAGGCGCAAGCAAACGCGGTGCATGTTTACGAGGCGATTTCCCAGCGTAATGGCCATGCGAATTGGTTAGGAGTGAAGGACGATGCCTTAACTTACTCGTCTCTGTGGGGTGCTATGGATCTGGTGGAATGTTTTCCACAGAGTTATTTGCATTAGTGATGTAGAGTAGAACGTTTCCGCAGTTATAGCGTCAGTTCTTACTCGTATGTGAATCAGAATGCAGTCAAAAGGCTTACTCCTCCATGCCACAACGCAGGAGGTACCTTTAAGTTTGGAAGATCGAGGAAACCCCGCTATCCGTTGCGCATTGTGTTGCATCGTCTGGTCTTGTTGATAAATCTTGACACTTAGATTCACTTTGTCCTCCTTCTATGGAAGATCATACCGGTGGAAAACTTGTCGTTAATTCTGGCTGAGGCAGCAGCAAGATCAACCAGCTGCTAGTGAACGCTCGGAGGATGACCAATTTTCAGTAGCATGCGGTGTAGACAGACATGACAAAATTATGTCTTAATGAGTCAATCTGCCGCATACATTACGTTGCAAGAGCATTAATGCATCTACTGCGACTTCTCTATGTCTAAAATACGTTCAACTGCCCGGTCTTTAACTATGTAGCAACCATTCAGTAGTATTTCTGTTGTTCGATAAAGCCTTGGTGAAGTGTAGTCAACTAATTACCCTAGCCTGCAGTCCTCGTTCATCTCTCAGGCACTGATATCCTTGAGCTGTCCATGATCAGCCTGAGCGACGCAACTGACATTTATACTGTTTTCCAAGTTTTAGGCGGTCCAGCAGATCCTAGACGATGAATCCGTCGTCAACGACGTTTGGAGTGTATCTCGCAACCGAAAGATGTTCCAAGTAAGTCTGTCTGTATATCTATTCACTCTAAGTCCGTAGCACACAGTAAATTTGTTGAAACGATACCGATTTTCACTCATAACACCAGCAGAAATACGTTCGAATTGTCCTTTTTTACTTTATTGCCAAGCCAGCAATTATACCTGCATCCGTTGCGTAATCCGTGTGGAAACATAACGGCTAATTATACAGTATGGGTTAGGAGGTGTGAATAAGTTATAGTCAACGCTAGAATGAGTGCGGACATATGGAATAGCAGCGCGGCCCAAACTCGGATTATGGATGAAATTCAAAGAGAGTAAGCGGAAATCCAACGTACGAGTAAGAATCATTTGATGGCAGCGGAGACGGAGAGTTGGTGATCCTAAAACCAGGTTCACAACCAAGCGAGAATTGGGACATTGAAGATGGATGCATTGATGAGTTCTGCTTCTGGATTCACGCCATGGGGGTCAAATGTGGTCGACTGTCTGTCCTCTATTGACCTGGGTGATGGATCAATTAAAAGAGTGCTTTGAAGTTTGTGCCCGATGATGAGCCGCCGTGGAGTTCCAAAATGGATAGTGTTTAGGCGGCTAGCTCAAGTCGTCATTCAACATTTAGTAGACAGTTCAGACACATGAAGCGTGGTTTGGTTACCTAAAAGAAACAAGTAACCATGAACAAACTCTTTGCGGTGGTCCCATCATTGGATATGCGTTTTGCGCCTTCAAAGTACGGAGTGCTATTGTACGATCACAAACCACTGGATGGTCCCTTAAGTTTTGCCGACGCACTCGAGAAGGCTCATCCATGAGAATTTCCTACTGTTCCCACGCTATTCGAACGGGAACTTGACCATTTCAGCTATGTTGGTCGTGGAAGATAGGTCATGCTATATTCCAGTTAACTTGCAAATTAGATCGCCCAGCCACCGTTCTCCATGGCTGAGTGACTTAAATTGCCGGCTATTTGGCGTCAGTCTCTTGCGGTCATGGCTTTGGTCCGCAGTAGGGGACCGAGGGAATGCGCACTACTGACGGGCCCCAATAGGGCGAAACGCGATTGGTGCTTTCTCGGATTGTGCTTTAGCTATATAACTTGTGAGGTGCTGGGACGAATACAACTCTTATTTATCATATACACATCTACATTGCCTGATTGTGTTCGATCGAGAAACCACTGCAGCACTAAACCACATGTTTGGCGATAGCAGCTTTTTTGCCCGGCTGAGAAAAGGTGGTGGAGATGCTGTTCGGCCTATTTTGGTTCATGCAATTTTTGTATTGACGGAGTAAATGGGATTCCTGATTCACCTCTATTCAGAGGATAGGCGCATATGATAAACGGGTAGAGAAAAGGGAACCTGAAGGGCTATCCATCTTCCAATTTGGCACACTGTTATCAGTCGACCAGATGTGGGCACTGTCCGTCAGGTTAGTCTAACTGCGAATGTTCGATCGAAGCCGCAAAAGCAGTACGTAGTGTGGTGTAGCTCTGGGCCGGTGACGCGAGTCAGTCACACACGAACGATTGGAGTACGTGGAAAGGTAATGAAAACAGCGAAGCAACCGTTTTATTAATGATCTCTTTTTTCAAGATTTGGCCAGCTGATTGTGACCGCGCGTTGTTGGCATGTTGAGGCCGCATTACTCCCGAGTGTTTGGGTTTGGTACCTAGCTATTACAATAGATACTCGGATTCAGATGGGACTGGAATTAGAGGAAATATCTCTTGAGTGTTTCTTCTTGAACGGATCATTGAGGCAAGAAGTAATGTGTCACGAGGTCTTGATGGGTCTAAAACGAAACACTCGAACCCCACCCTGGTCAGCCAATTCCTGACCCCGTTCCCTGCACTCACAGTCCCCGCAGTGCAGGTCAGGTGAAGTAAGGAAGACGTAGCAAGAAAATGGAGGATAAAGAGGAGGGAAAGTCATTTAAATGAAGGATAACACCAAAAAATGAGGAATGACAGAATATGAACTCAAAGTTGGAAGGTTGAGATGGTCAGGAGAAGAGAAAGATTTTGTGTTGCTCGAAACCCTTAACCGGAGGTTCACCGACTACACTTTCTAGAGATGAGTTCCAGCGCTCGATAACTAGACGATAATCGAGTTTCCGCCCTGATCCGGTCGGAATGTGGCTTGTGTACAATGAACGATGATATATTACAGGTATAAAAGCGATTGCTTTCCAAGTCCCATAGGATGGTTGAAGTGAAAGTAAACATAAGTGTAAATCGTCAATATAAGCAGCTAGTGAATTCAAGTGCCCCTTATTCATATAAACGTTGTAGAATGTGTGCTGAATTGTTACTGTAGAGTAATATGGGAAGTAATATGGTTAAAGCATGTCTTAAGAACAAGAGAAACGACAACGCTTACTCTTGCGCCGCTTTCTTGGACTGAGGTAAATTGATGAATGCAGTTGTAACATATCCGAAACTATATTCCACAACAGTAGTGTGTAAATAGTAAAGCACAAAAGCTGAGAATGAGCACTGTTTTTTTCGCGTTTGTTTGACGTGGACATCTTTGATTATATAGCGTAATGTAGGTGGATAAGCGAATCATCCAGACGTCTTTTGAATACCGTTAGCGTGGGGGAAGGAACAACGTATGTGGGAAGAGCGTTCCAGTGGTTGCCTACACGAAGGGAAAAGAAATTCCGGCGGCATTCCAACCGGCTGTGTTGTGTGGCCAGCTTTAGCTGGTGTCCTCTGTGTTGTATTGCTATTCAGCTTTAGTAGGTGACGACAACAATGGTTTGGATTCCTCAGGATCATATAAGTCATTATCAAGTCGCCACGCAGGCGTCGATATTGTCCACTGTAGACCCCGAGGGTTTTCAGCCTTAATCGGTAAGGGAGATGAAACGGGACCTTTACGTTCTTGGTCGCCCTTCGTTGTGGCAGTTCAAGAGCGGTAAGGTCTTGCTTTTGCCATGGCTGCCAGGCGTGGATGGCGTACTCAGAATGAGGCCGAATGTAGGCGTTGAGCATCGGAGAAAAGATGGAAGGATCGAAGCGCCCGAATGCCCTCCGCAAAAGGCCAAGGTTTTGGTTAGCTTTTTTGGACCCTTTCTCGGCCTGACGGTGACAGCCCAGATCTTCCTGCACTACCACTCCTAGATCGCATTCCGTTGTAGTGCGCTGCAATATTTGATCCCTTAGTCTGTATTCACAAGTAGCTTTATGGCGTATGCTCAACACCTTACACTTTGTAGCGTTGAACTGAAGCAGGTTCTGAGTCGACCAATCGTAGACCCTGTCAAGATCATCCTGAAGTGTTGCATTATCGCTGGTTGTTCTAATGGCTCGCCATATCTTGAGATCATCAGCGAAGAGTAAGGAGTTGGAGGTGATTACTGTCGCGAGATCGTTTATGTAAATCAGGAATAGTCGTGGACCAAGTACTGAGCCCTGGGGCACTCCGTACTTAACGTCGATTCGGTCAGAGATGACGCCGCGAACTCTTACATTCGGATGTCGTTGAAGCAAGAAGTTACCTATCCAACCGAGGATTGGGTCACTAATTCCACAGCACTGGAGCTTGTGAAGAAGGATACGGTGGTTCAGACGGTCGAAAGCCTTTGAGAAGTCCAGACATACTGTGTCAACACCTACGCCGCTGTCAACGGTCTCAGTCCAACTGGATCTGGCAAGCAGCAAGTTTGAAGTGCAAGATCGGTTCTTGCGAAACCCATATTGTTCTTGTGCTATGATATTGCGTTCTTCCAAGAAGTTCATCAGCGATTCGGCAACAATCGCTTCCTTGATTTTGGAGAGCACCGGAAGTAGTGTTATCGGGCGATAGTTGGCCGAATCTGTACGACTTCCCCCCTTATGGATGGGAGTGACGATGCCTTGCTTCCACATTGTTGGCACGCGCATCTCATCGAGGCATCGTTGGAAGAACTTGCAGAGGGGGTCTGCCAGGTTTAGTGCGGCCAATTTCAACGCTTTTGGACGAATATTATCAACACCGGGAGAGGTATGCTCGCGCAGGGCAATTAACCTTTTCATAACATCCGCAGTCGTAAACGTGATGTGGCTGATTCCTAGTGGTGGTACAACGATTAGGGACAGTGTATGCGGCGCGGTCGTGCTCTGGAAATTCGGGGCGGATTGTTGACCTAGGGCGTTGGCCGCCTCGTTTGCGGTTTGTGCGAGTCCACACAATGTGTGTAAAGCAGGAATTCCTCGCTGCATTTAGCGGAGCTTGTTAACGTGTCTGTACAAGAGCTTGGGGTTTGAAAGGAATTTCTCGGCTAGATTCTGTTGGTGCTGCATTTTATCTTCACGTACCAGGTTTACGCAGTGATTCCTTTGGATAGTTTAGACTTCCCAGGTTTCGGCACTCGATGACTCCTTATATCTTCGCCAGAGTAAATTCCTCGTGACTATACACTTGCGTGTCCTGCTGCGTATGAATGATTTTACTGTCTTCGCTCGCGAAGGTCTTTTCCTAGAAGCACTAGTTACTAACGTGTTGAACTGGTGAGCAAATTCAGACCAGGCGACATCGGGGACTCGTTCTGCTAGAAATGCCCAGTTTGTAACATTTAAACGTTTGATTAGAGCGCCGTAATCCGTAATGAGCTGGCATTCCTCGGTGTTTTCTGAGGAATACTCTGCATATCAGATGTACTTGAACACGAGGGTTGCATGGTAGCTACGGCCTAAAGGACTCTATCGATACCGTTTCGATCATAAGCTCTTCATTGGTGAATACACGATTCAGGACACCCGGTTTGTTTCCCGCCCTGAATCTTGTGGGAGATGTGATGTGATTGTAGAGTGGTAGTTCAGTAATTATCTCCGGTACTTTAATTTTGAAGTGTTCGTTGATACGGGCTGGGGTTTCTATGCTATGAATTTTGAAGTCGCCAACCAGGAGAATGTGACTGTACGACTGCGAGAGAATGGTCTTCATTGTGGAGGCTAGGCGGTTGTGCATTTCCGAAGTAGCCGACGGAGAGCGATACACCACACCCAACAAACATGCGTCCCCACGGCTA